TATTCTGTGTATGCATATATTTTTTCACTATCATCAAAGTGGACCATTTTACAATTGGAAGTGATTTGAGGTTCAAATGTTTGGCTTTCCTGATTAATGGGCAGTGTATTTATTTTTGCCCAGACGTCTTCATGTCAGGATATCTCTTTTTTTTCTGCGAAGGGTTGTTGCATAATCCCTGACCTCGCTCGGTCTTCCCGAAAAGGAAACCCTGGGTCAGGCTGCTGAATTAATTAGAAGCCTTTTTTTTATAAATTTTTTAAAAGAAGGATCTCGGAATGGCTGCGCATCGAGAGAGGGATTAAGCAAGAATGGCTGATGGACGGTATTCGAAAAAAATAAAAATAATCAGGATTAAAAATAAGGGCAACAAATGTAAGGCGTCAACTGGTTTTCTTTTATTTCAATAATATCCGTTGAATGATCAGTTACAAAAAAAAGAAATTTCCTTCAACAGTGCAAAGACCTGTTGAAGGAAATTTCTTTTTTTTTGTACCGAACTGAGGTTTTGCACAAAGGGGGGCTTTTGGACGAAATGCTTTTTGCANGTGGAACTGATTTTGTTTTCGGTGGATTATCGAAGTCTGGATTCATTTGCGTTGAATGACGCATTTTACAAATTTAAGGCTGAATTTCGCTGTTGTCAAATCAATTTTATTCGTAAAGAAAAAAATTAAACTACCCAACGGAAAATTTAGTACTTTGTAGTACTGTACGAATACTTTCGAAATAAAGCTGGGTATTTTTCTTCAGAACGGTGGAAACTCAAGAGAATCTTGTCATCATTCAGTCTTAATTTTTGTGTATTTTTTTATGCGCTGAAATGGTTGACTTTATATCTATAAAACAAAATTTTAGGGATCAGAAAATGCATTGTGGCGAGAATTTTGTTTTAGGGAACCCTCTTTGGACCAAAAAATCGCTATACAGAGCAAATTGCTGCAGTATAAATAAAATCGTTGTAGAGGGAATTTTCCTGCATAAGATTTTTCATGTTGTTTATTTCCGACTGACAATGTAATGTAGTGGCAACTGAACCTCCAATGAGTGAATTCTTCTGCCAATTCATCAACAAATTTAGAATTTCAAATGAAACTGCAAACCACTAAAAGAAAACCGAATCGTATAATGCAGAAAAATTTCATCATTGTATGATGTTTATTCTAAATTTGAAGCTCTCCTAAACGAAAGAAAAAGGGAAAGAAATTAATTATCGAGTATCTTGTATAAGGCTTTGGTGCAGAAAACGCAGGTGTTGCTGTAATTTATTTTGTCAGCAGTACTTTACCGAAAATTTAAAAAAAATGTTTCAACCGCGGTAAATCGTTTTTTCATTGACCTGGTCCCAAGATTGACCTTGACCCTGCTCAAGTTACCTTTCCGCACTTTTGCACAATCATGAGAAGCGTTTTGTTTCGGCGGGAAAATGGTGCTTACATGATTTGATCAATGTTTGGCATCAGTGTGTGGGTGCTTTAGTTGACCATGTGTCAATCTAAAGTAGTTGAGTTTGAAGCCCTCTGACGTGTTCAAGGACTGGGAAATGAACTGAAGGGTGTTATGCAATGCTGGAAAAGCTTAAAATCCAAGGTGTTCAATTCAGAGTGAGTTGATGTACAGTATATATATATACATATACATATACAGTGAGACCCCAAGATGCGGACGTAATGGGTGCATCAAGAGTGTCTCTAAGTCGAAATGTCCCTGAGTTGAGTCTCATTTTCCCTTAGACTTACATTATATAATTTTTAATTGGTGTTTTATCGACAAAATACTCACCATAATTCCATGAAAATAAAAATTGTCTCTCAATTTAAGCTGATTCAATCAATATATTTCAACACAATATGAACATTTTGGGAAATTCAATACTGATACCTCTGTACAGTACATAGAAATGTTGGCATTCTCTGTAAAAAATAGCATTCCAAGGGAAAAAGAGAGAAGGAAGTCCCTCTATGCTGGAGGTAATTTTTTTTAATTTAGCTAAATGGATGATAAATTGGTGAGAGAATTGCCCGAGAACTTTTCTTACATCAGTTTAAGGGTTGGAAATATCTGTTTCTCGTAATTTGGCCTAAAATGTCTTTGAAATTTTATAACAAAGTGTCCCTATGTTGAGTCAGTGTCCTCATGTTGGGCCTTTTTAAATCAATTTTTCATGGAAAAAATAAGTGTCCCTATGTCGAATTTTCTTCAGGTTTAGGTGTCCGCATGTTGGGGTCTCACTGTGTACATTACTGTACTGAATATTCTGTGTATGCATATATTTTTTCACTATCATCAAAGTGGACCATTTTACAATTGGAAGTGATTTGAGGTTCAAATGTTTGGCTTTCCTGATTAATGGGCAGTGTATTTATTTTTGCCCAGACGTCTTCATGTCAGGATATCTCTTTTTTTTCTGCGAAGGGTTGTTGCATAATCCCTGACCTCGCTCGGTCTTCCCGAAAAGGAAACCCTGGGTCAGGCTGCTGAATTAATTAGAAGCCTTTTTTTTATAAATTTTTTAAAAGAAGGATCTCGGAATGGCTGCGCATCGAGAGAGGGATTAAGCAAGAATGGCTGATGGACGGTATTCGAAAAAAATAAAAATAATCAGGATTAAAAATAAGGGCAACAAATGTAAGGGCAGTTGACCAAAAGAAAATAAAGTTATTATAGGCAACTTACTAGTCAATGTTTTTTTTCTTTAAAGGAAGTTGTCACGTTTCTGGACAACTTCCTTTAAAGAAAAAAAAACATGGCTTGACTCCAATTGCACAAAGGGGGGCTTTTGGACGAAATGCTTTTTGCACTTCGCATCTTCATGACAAGTGAAAAACGACGCAAAATTTGACATTTTCCTTTCGAATACAATATTTGCTGATACATAAATAAAAAAAGGATCTTCATTTAATCTGATTTCGTCGGTTTTTCGTCGATTTTTGTTTGAAAAAACGACCGTCAAGCAGATTTTTCCCATTTCAATTCTATCAGTCGGATAATCAATTTTTCCAAGTCATTTTGTACGTCGTCTTCAGCTGGTTTTTACACGTCGCAGTTTTGTGAAATGTGCACAAAATTACGTAAAATTTTACCCCGAAATTAAAAAAGGGGAATTTATTCTAGCTGCATTTTTGTTGTTATTTTCAGGTCAAATTTGTTTGCTATTGAAAAGAATGAAGATGCCGAATCCAACCATTAAACTGAAACAATATCTGTTATTTAAGAAAAAGTTTCAGTAAAATTACTAATTTTTCCAAGTCATTTTTCGTCATCTTCAGCCGGTTTTTACACACTTGGCATTTTCGTGACTTCTGAAAAATATCGCTCGATTTCACATTTCCTTTTAGATGCAGTATCTGATCCTAAATTTTTAACGACGTTTTTCCCTCATCCTGCGTTGTTTTTTTTTTGACGTCGTTTTTTAGTTGAAAAAAAGAGTCAAGATGAATAAAAAATCTAAACTTTACCTCTTTTTATTTTATTTCAATAATAATAATATCAGTCAAATAATCCTTCTTTCGAGTCATTTTTACGTCATCTTCGGCCGGTTTTTACCCGTCTCGGCTTCATGACATGAGGAAAATGTCGCAAAAGGTCACATTTCCTTTCGAATTCGATATCGAAAATATTCAAAATCTGAATGACGTATTTTATATCATCTGGAATATTATTGTTGACGGGTTTTTTTCACGTGGTACTGTGTGCAATTTTTTTTCCAAGTTCCATCGCATAAATGCTCCTGCACACGCAGTACAATATTTCGGAAGAAGCTCATCGAATTATAAAAGATTGCAGTATTTTTATGGTTACCGTGTTATGAAATCCCTTCTTCCTGTGGTGTTGCCAAGGGAAAAATATTTCCGGTACCGAGAGAGAATTTCAAGCATTCCACTATAAAAGAAGCAGAAGCTCCATTAATAAAGGACTGCATGCCCCTTTCTTTTTTCAGGTCCACAAACTCACTAACTACAGGCGCACACAACGGCCCTTCTTTGCACACTTCTTTTTGCAAATTCGTCGTCGGTTTAATTCTGACTTTTCGTGGTGAGTTCTTCCTGGAACGATTTTTGAGTGCTATTTTTCTTTTATTTTTTATGAGCGAAAATTTGCTGAAGTCGATCGTAATCCACCGGGTTAGCGATTGCTGATCAGTTGAATAATTCATTGGAATTTATGGGGATTTTAGCTGAAGGCTTCTACGACAAATTTGTTTGACTTGATTTGTTCTAGAAACTTGCGTATATTCAGCATTAATTTCAATCTTTACTGTGAGGTACGTCAGTCAGTAAGTGTGACACAATTGTATAAAATATTGTTGATGGAATAATGCTTAGACAATTTTTTATTTCGGAATTGACAAATAATTATTAAGAGATCTTGAATTAATCCGCCAATTTCTTTAAGAATTGTTTTTGCACTTTGAATGAATTAAAAAAAATTTAATCATCATTATGAGGAAGGGAATTCGTTTAAACTGGCCTCTCTTGGAGCGACACATATCGAGAGGTACTTAATACAGGCGGACTCTTCCAGAGAATCTTGTCTGCAACTATATATTCTCTGTATAACGAATATTTTTTGATCGGGTTCTATCCGTATGTTATATGGGTTCTGTATGAAATTCAAGAGACCAAAAAAAAATTCGTTGTAGGCCGAGTTTTGGTGTAGAGGGAATTTACCTGTACTTGAAACAGAAAATTCTGCGCATTATTGGAATCAGTGGTCAATGGAATCACAGAATTCGAAAAAATAATTTATCAAATTATTAATTGCATGTTTATTTATTTTCTGAAGAAAAAAGAAAATCTCAAAACCTTTTGTGCTCCAGTTTCTTTTTTTTTTCTGTTGAGAAAACCATGCGGGACTCATGCACCGGTGACACCTGGTGGAAAGAAAAATAACTACCGTACCACACTGGGGCATGATTTGAACCTGATCGAATTGCGCACGAAAAAAAGTACTGTACAGTACATGTACTGTAGTAGTATAGTTTATGTTTGCTATTGTAGATGTCGCTACTGCATGGCTGCTTCGAAGAGAAACATAGGGATAACGCTGAGTTGTCCCAGCGCTCAGTTGGTCCCTTGGGCGCTCTTCTGACCCTGCACCCGTTTCGGGTTAGAGTTCGATGGTCGGGGTGTTGATTTCGTTTGAATTGCGTGTCTATGCTCAGTGGTTATGTGATGCTTTTTTTCGTATATCTTTGCTTCTTTTGATGGGTGTAGGTTCCAGAAGGCGAGATCAAGAGTCGCAGTGTTGGAACAATAAGGTCTGGATGATTTCGAAAATTTCTGTTTCATAAGAAATTTGAAAGAGAAAGAAGTCGCAAATGTGCCGAAAAAAAAAACAAAATGTTGGAAAATTATTGCGGGAACGGTTACAGATTTTCTTTTGTGGTTGAGTTTTTATTCCAAGATAAATTGACCGATTGCGTGCGTGTTCATGAAGATTGATTTTTCAAAGTGAACTGGTTTTTTTTTTTTTTTTGCATCCGTGAAGAAACGGTTGAGATACGTTTCGTGTCAGAAACACTCCTGTGAACTTGAACCCTCAAACTTCTATTGAAAATGGATGCAGATTTTCTGCTCTCTTCAATTTTCAATCAAGAAATTCGACCAAATGCGTGTGTTCATGAAGATAGATTTTTCAAAGTGAACTGTTGTATTTTTTACATCTGTGAAAAAAAATCGTTGTGATCAGTTTCGTGTAAGAATGACTTCTGTGAACTTGAACCCACAAAATAGGCTTGAAAATGAATACCGATTTTCTGCTTTCTTCAGTTTTGAATTATGAAATTCCACCAAATGTTCGTCTTCATGAAGATCGATTTTGCAATGTGAACGGTTTTTTTTTTGCATCTGTGAAAAAAGGGTTTGTTATCAGTTTGATTAGGTCAGAAAGAATTCTGTGAACTTAAACCTTAAAAATTGCCTTGAAGAGGAATGCAGATTTTCTGCTTTCTTCAGTTTTGATTTCAGAAATTCGTTCAAAACGTGTGTATTCATGAAGACTGATTTTTCAAAGTGACTTGTTTTTAATTTATTTATTTTTTATTCTCGACTGTGAGAACCGATTGTGATCAATTTCGTGTCAAATTAAGACTTCTGCGAACTGAGGGGGCGAAGTTGCGCTCCACAAATTCCCGCGAAAAATTTAAGTGGATTTTCTGCTTCCTCGAGTATTTAATTCTGAATTTTTGACGAAATGTGTGTGTGTGTGTGTGTGTGTGTGTGTGTGGGTATGTGTTCATGATGATTGATTTTCAATTTGAATATTTTTCGATTGGGAGAACGGACGGGGATCAGTTTGATTCCGGGGAAAATTTCCGTGAACTTGATGGAAAATTCAGGTTGCATCCTGATGAAAAAATAATTAACATTATTTTCTCATTCTCCAATTTGATGTTTTCATCAAATTTTTTTTCAGTGCACGTCTTCGTTGCGATTGATTCTCGAATTAAACAGAGAATTTTGATCGACAGAGTCGAGTTCCGAATGGCTCTCAAATTTTTCAGTTTGAGTCCGTATTACTAAGGAATTACAGTATTTCTGTTCAAGTGAAGTTGAACACGCGATTGAAAACGTTGCAAATTTGCAAGAGTTCATTTTAAAATTTCACTCAGCGGTGGATGTAGTTCCTGAAACTCAACATTTGAAGTGAATAATTCAAGTTATAATCAGTGAAGTGATGGCAAGAAAAATTGAGTAACCTTCACAGTTGATCATTTCCGGTTTCATTGATAATTTTTTTTTGCTGATGCGTTTTCCGAAAATATTGCAATTCGGTTGAATCCCAAGTGGATTCTCAGGAAAACTGAGCAATTTTGGAAAATTTTCCCCACTTTTCTCGGTCTCGACCGTGTGTAGATGGATTTTTCTAGCGCCGGTTACAAATATATATTTTTCCATTTTACGCCGAAAATAGTAAACCTTACCTCTGTCAATTTTTTCAAAGTCCCAGTCGGAATTCCCAGTGCATTGAAAACCTTTGAACTCGAAGCCCCCTCCCCCTCCTCAGGATTCCATAGCTCGAATTTTCTGGAGGGAATTTATTTATTTTATTGACAAAACCAAGATAAAAGCAAAAATGTAATTTACGTGTTCCGGAAGGAAGTGAGTGACTAATTTGGCAAATGAATCCTGTCAACTCCTTTAAATTTTGAAAAGAAATTCATGGCCTAGAATATCACCAATTAACATTTATTTAAATTTTTATTTGTCCCCCCCCTCCCCAAGAAAATTTATATTTGATTGACAGAGGAAAGAGAAAAGAAAAAAATTTAATTTCCATGTTTCGGAGGAAGTGAGTGACTAGTTGATCTAATGAATCCTGTCAACTCCTTTAAATTTCGAAAAGAAATTCATGGCCTAGAATATTACCGCAATTACGATTTATTTAAATTTTCATTTGTTCCCCTCCCCTTCCCCAAGAAAATTTATTAATTTATTGACAAAGCAAAGAGAAAATAAAAAATGGGTGTGTTTCGGAAGGATGTGAAAGACTAATGGGGGAAAATTAATCCTGTCAACTCGAAAAGAAATTGATGGCCTAGAATATTACCAATTACGATTTATTTAAATTTTTATTTGCCCCCCCCCCCTCCCCAAGAAAATTTATTAATTTATTGTCAAAGGAAAGACAAAAGCAAAAAAATGTAATTTACGTGGTTTGGAAGGAAGTGAGTGACCAATTGAGCAAATGAATCCTGTCAACTCCTTTAAATATTAAAAAGCAATTCAAGGCCCAGAATATTACCGCAATTGCGATTTATTTCAATTTTTCTTTACTCCCCCCCCCCCCGAACAAAATGTATTTTCGTCAATTCTAAATTCAGTTTAAATCAAAGAGGTTCGACTGTATACATTAAATATACAGTATTGAAGTAAAAGAAAATATATATATATGCGACGCATCCTCAACTTTTTAAATTTCCACTGTCCTTTTCTTTTTTTCTTTGTTTGCTTGTTTGTATCCTTTTTTCGCTATAGTTTACATGTAACCCAGTGCCGTGAGTACGATTATATCACGTGTAATGCAGTCCCTTTATCACGTGTGTTTTGAATGATGGGGATTGTCATTTCCTTTCTTGAAGCAGTTTTACACGCGGTAGTTAATGCGTGGACGTTGTGCAATGAGAACGGATATCCTCGTCGGGTTGCATGGGATCGTGTTCACCCACGTGTGTATGTGTGTGGGGAAGAAAAAAACAGTGTTATCCTTCGATGAGTCAGTGTCTTTGAAACGAGGATAATATTCCCAGCCACTGGGTTTCAAATCGTACTTGCTGTGTATTTTTTGAAGAAGCAGGATTTTTTTTCTCAAGAATATTTGATTAAAATTGGCGGGAATAAAGGGCTAAAAATGTAAACGTGTGTGTGTGTGTGTGTGTTTTTTTTTTTTAAAGAAGAAAGTGGAGCTTTGAGATGCGGACAGTATCCTTCGAGTTAGTGTCTTTGAAAGAGGATAATATTCCCAGCCACTGGTTTTAAAGTTTAACCGTATTTGTTGTGTACTTTTAAGAAACAGGATTTTGTCTCAAAAATATTTGAGCGAAATGGGCGGGAAAGTTCTGAAACTGTAAATACGTGTGTATATTTTTTTTTTTCAAGTAGAAAGTGGAGCCCCGAGATGCGGACGTTATATTTTTAGGTCAGTGTATTTGAATGAGGATAATATTCCCAGCCTTTGGTTTTAAAGTTGAACCGTATTTGTTATGTAATTTTTAGAAATCTGATTTGGTCTGAAAAAATATTTTGAGCGAAATGTGCGGGAAAGTGCTGAAACTGTAAATACGTGTGTATTTTTTAGAAGAAAAAAGTGGAGCCCCGAGATGCGAACGTCATCCTTTTGAGTTAGTGTCGTTGAAACGAGGATATTATTCCCAGCCACTGGTTTTAAACAGTATTTGTTTTGTAATTTTTTAGAAACGGGATTTTGTCTGAAAAATATTTGAGCAAAATGGGCGGGAAAGTGCTAAAACTCTGAATACGTGTGTATTTTATAAAAGAAGAAAGTGGAGCCCCGAGATGCGGACGTTATCCTTTCAGTCGGTGTCTTTGAAACGACAGGATAACATTCCTAGCCACTGGTTTTAAACCGTACTTGTTATGTATTTTTGATGAAGCAGGATTTCGTATGAAAATATTTGAGCAAAATGGGCGCGAAAGTGCTAAAACTCCAAATACGTGTGTATTTTTATAAAAGAAGAAAGTGGAGCCCCGAGATGCGGACGTTATCCTTTAAGTCAGTGTCTTTGAACGAGGATAATATTCTCAGCCACTAGTTTCAAAGTTCAACCGTACTTGTTCTGTGTTATTTTAGAAACAGGATTTTGTCTAAGAAATATTTGAGCAAAATGGGCGCGAAAGTGCTAAAACTCCAAATACGTGTGTATTTTATAAAAGAAGAAAGTGGAGCCCCGAGATGCGGACGTTTTTCTTTGAGTCAGTGTCTTTGAAACGAGGATAATGTTCTTAGCCAGTGTTTTTAACCCGTACTTTTTTTTTGGATCAGGATTTTGTCTAAAAAATATTTGAGCAAAATGGGCGGGAAAGGGCTAAAACTCTGAATACGTGTGCATTTTTTAAAAGAAGAAAGTGGAGCCCCGAGATGCGGACGTTATGCGGACGGAGAGCAAAACTCTGCCAGGGTGAATTTTTCCAAAAAAAAAAAAAAAAAAATGTGCCAAGCAGGGCTGATTTTTTTGTGTGCCAAAGAATATGTTTTCCCTAAAAATAATTTTTTCAGCTCAATTACACGCCATTTTCATTTCTATTCCGAGAACTTTTGTTAGAACCCTCGTATGTAGCGTCAGTCCACCTGCTATGTGTACTTCAAATAGTTGCCCAAACTGTTTTATTTTATATTTCAGAAAAGAGGCATTGAAGATAATGTTTAACCATAATTTGTTTTTATCTCCACAGGAAGCCTTCCGGTTGAATTAAAAAAAGAAAAGTGACCAAATGAAGCGATGCGACGGGAATTTAGCGGCGATCTAGTCTTCGGTTTCTCCTAAAAGAAAAAAAAAAAAAAAGCTCACTAGGTCTGTCCCCTTTCTCTCTCATTTTTTATTTTATTTGGTGCTCGCTCTTCATTTAAAATTTAAAGAAAATAAAACGCTCAAAGATTCCGCGACTATTGGATCAATCGGATCGAATCAAATCAATCAATCAGTCCCTCGTGGTGTCGATTCTACTACTCTTCTGAGTAGAAACAAAAAGAGGAAGTTCTGGCGACAGAGTGTCGCGTGCCAGCAGCAGCACCAGCCGGAGTCAAAGTCGTCACTGACGAGGAATCCAAGTTCGACTGCATCGCTCGACTCACGGGCCTGTGTCGACGAGCCGCGACGTCGCTGGCGGCGGCAGCGGCAACGGCGTCGCGAGTCGCCTCTTCTTCTTCTTCCTCTTCTTCCTCTTCAACCCCATCTCCTCCACGACCGCCACAACAACAACAGCAGGTCGCTGCTCAAGTTGTGGTTCTGCCGGGGGAAGTTGTCGACGACGTCACAACGACGACGGGTGAAGAAGGCAGCGGGGGTGGCGGCGGTGGTGGCGGTGATCAAGAGCAGCAGCTGCGGACGACGGCGACGAGTTCCATTGACATGGCGTCTTCCAAGGTGGCGAGGAGGCGGCAGGGGAGTTTGCCCAAAGAGCCGCCGCCGGTGAATGACGACGACGTGTCCAGAGAGTACACTGTGGACAACTTTGAGATCGTCAAGACCATAGGTCAGTTGTTTGGGCTTATTTCTCTTGTGTTTTGTTGTTGATGTTGTTGGGGAATGAATCCTGAACAAGTGAGAGAGTGATGAGAAAACCGTAAGTGTTTGTAACAAAATACCTGATAATAAGAGCTTGTACTGTAATAAAATGCTTAATCAGATGAGCTTGAAGTGAAATACAGTACAGTGAGACCCCCACATGCGGACACCTCAACATTCATACAATTTGACATGGGGACACTTATCTTCCCATAAAAAATTCATAAAAAAGTCCTGTCATGAGGACACTGATTCAACATATAGGGACATTTTGTGATAAAACTGCAAATAAGTTTCTGGCCAAATTACAAGAGACAGATATTTCCAACCCTAAAATTGATGTAAGAAAAGTTTTTGGGCATTTCTCTCACCAATTTACCATTCATTTAGCTAATTTAAAAAATTACCTCCAGCATAGAGGGACTTCCTTCTCTCTTTCTCACTTGAATGTTATTTTTACAGAGAACGGCAACATTTCTATGTAATTTGTGGGTATCAGTATTCAATTCCCCAAAATGTCCATATTGTGTTGAAATATATTGATTGTATCAGCTTCAATTGGGAGACAATTTTTATTTTCATGGAATTATGATGAGTATTTTGTCTATAAAACACCAATTAAAAATTGGATAATGTAAGTCTAAGGGAAAATGAGACTCAACTTAGGCACATTTTGACTTAGAGACACTCTTGATGCACCAATTATGTCCGCATCTTGGGGTCATTCTGTACTTGATCAGCCAGGCTGAGGCTGGGGCTGAAAAGCTTTATTTTAATGTCAATATATTTCTTTTTTGAAAGAAAGAACACGGCTGAAAAAGCCAAGTTGTTTGGACAACACAAGTATTAGAAAAAAAAAATAAAGTGAGGCAAATGCAGAGATTAAAATGGTTGGACTATTGCAAGGTCTGCTCTGTTTGGATACTACAACTCAAATGATTAAGGTTGCTGGTCAGTGATGACCAAGAAAACTATTTCAATGAAAAGGGATGAAAGAAACGTCCTTGCTAAATTTCATAGATTTTCTGGAAAAAAATAGCCCTCAAAGGACAAGGCATTACTGGAGGAAGATTGTGGGAACTTGAGGTCAACTCTGGTTCCACAAGATTCCTAGGGAGATTAGCTACTTTGCTGATTCCTGTAAATCTGTGTTTCTAAACACGCCCACTTTAATTTTGAACAGGTGTTGTTGTTGTTGAAAGCAGAATACTTTTTAGATTTTGTTTAGGATTTTGAAGTGCAGATATTTTGTGTGTTTTTATTGAAGATTGACATGGGTTGTACATTATGTGCTAGAAATCTCTGCTGTTCAAGCGTCATTATTTCACAAAAATTGTTTTTTAAAATTCAAGACAATATATTTGTTATTTAGGATTGAATCCTGTTTTTTTGAAGCAAGATATTATTTTTGATTAGATATTATTTGTTTAGATTTCTCTGCTGTGGAAGGGTCATTTTGACAAGTGTGTGGATCAATGTCAAGACCATAAACCAGTTCTTCAGGAATTTTTTTTATTTTTGGTAAAAAGCAGACTATTTTTTTCAGATTTTAAATTTTGGTTGATTTTGAGAATTTTTTTTGAAAATCTAAAAGGATACTAAGAGGCATTACGTACCGAGAATCTTTTTCGGCTTGGTGTTGCAATTCAAATTCTGCAATGTGTAATTACAATAATTAATTTTTTTTATGCATAGTTGATGACTGTAGCCAGGAAATATAAAACGACGAGAAAGTATTGTTTCTGATCTTACTTGTGTTGGGTAAGTTTCAACACTGAAAGCAATTCATCTTTGAATTTTAAAATACGCGGAAAGAAAGAAAAACATCCTTGGCACAGTTTTTTCTGAAGCTCAAGGTTCTTAGTTTAAAAAAAAAAAAAGGTCTTGGGGGGAAAATAATTGACTTTGAGCTGGCGGATGCTGGAAAATTATCAGGATCATAATTTCCCCCAATTATTTGACCTCGGATCATATATTGACGTTTTCTGTTTTCTTTTTCTTTGAGATTCGGGAACTATTTTTTTTTAAAACAAATAGCCGTTTCTGTAGTTGCGTAATTTTTTTTTCTTCTCGTCGCTTTGTTGCGTAACAAATCGCTATTCGAGAACTTTTCGTTTTTTTTTTTCTAAATTGAAAATAACGCTTGTACTGTATTTTTTTTTTAAACGCTGTTTCGAAACACAATTTGTGGAAGAAAGGACTTTGTGTAATGCCGATGTTGCCGAAATGGGATCAATTACCTTTACGTTAAGGGATTAAATTTACAGCATATTTTATGTTGATCTCAACCTTGCAATTTTATGCGAGGGGATTAAAAATGAGAGAGAATTTACTCAAGAGCAGTTTCAAAAATGCTGTGGAAATCTGATTCGCTTCTGTAAAGTTTTTCATGAGAATTTTTTATCGAGTTGAACGATGGCATGTTTTTTTTAATCGGTTGATTTTGTTCATCGTCAAGATTGCATTTTTGAAATTCTTTGAGTCATTTTCAGACGAATTTCAAAGCGTCCGTCTGAACGAAAATCTAGTCGGAAGGCGAATTAGGAGAATTGTCAGGCGAATTCAAGGGCTGATTCATTTCTTTCAGTTATGTTATAATAATTATTTTTTTTACATGATTCAAAAAAACATTTTTCCGTGCATCACTGGATAAGTCAACTTCAATTTATTCCTGTTCAACGTCCGACCCTGAACTGAATGCGAGTAAATGTTCCATCTCGTGAACTCGTCAATCGAAAAACGATACTGACAATCGAATTCTTTTGTTAAAAAAAAAATTATTCGGACGCACGAGCAGCAAGCATTTGAGTAAAGGGCATTTGAGTAAAGTTACAAATGTTTAGATGACAAGACTTGAAGCGGACATTCTCTTCATCTGCGAACTGTATATATCATCTTTTTCTAAGCGCAGCCTTGAAATGTGAGAATTTTCGCTCACTTGACATTCAAAGGAAATTTTTCAACATTAGTTCCACACGAAAAAAAAAATATACAGTATAGTCAAAATAAAAGAAAAATTTTTGCATGGCTGTTGGCGTTATTCAAGAAGTACTGTATGACATTGTTGCTAATTTTATTTGTCAGGTTTGATACAAGTCATTGTAGAACTTCTTCGGTTCGATCGTTTTTTTTTTTTTTTTCGGGTTTTGTTTTTGCATACATTTTTCGCCGTTGAGTTGTTGTCACATTAGCTGATGCGACGCTGATTTTCGCTTGATGCAGGCTTCAAAGTGTACATACGCAGCAATTTTGTTTTTTTCGATAAAAAAAAATTGTTCTGTTGACTCTTCCGAACGTGCCATTTAATATACACATCCGAATTGGAAGCAAAAATTAAACAAAATAAACTGCAAATTTTTTTAAATCTTTTGCAGATATTTCAATTTAAATTTAAATCGAAAAATCTGCATCAATTTTTTTATACGAAGCATTTTTTGTCTCGGTTTTGTAATAAAATTGAAAAATCTGCAAAAAATATTTACAATGTTTTTGCAAATTGTTTTCTTGGTTTTTAAAAATTATTTTGCAGATTTTTTCAATTGAAATTGGAAAATCTGCAGCATTTTTTGTATTCGCAGCATTTCTTTGTCTTTATTTTGTAATAAAATTGAAAAATCTGCAATAAATTTTTTAAAAATTTTTATATATTTTCTTCGCTGTTTTGGAAACATTTTTTGCAGATTTTCAATTTAAAAATCTGCAGCAATATTTGTGTACGCAGCATTTGTTTTCTCTTGGTTCTGTATTAAAATTGAAGAATCTGCAAGAAATATTCACAAAACCAAGACGAAAAAAAATTGCAGTTGATTTTTGTTTAATTCTTGCTTCCGAATGAGATGTGTATATAGGAATTGGCACGTTCGGAAGAGTTTGCGTGTGTTTCGTTTGAAGGCAACGGAAGACGTATTGCGCTCTCAAAAAATTATTGCAAAATTAGCAAATGGGTGGCGAAAATTGAAATTTTCAAATTTTATGGATGTGTTTTGGTTTTCATCCAGTAATAGAATGTTCTCGCTAAATTTAATTGGCACATTTAATTCGATGTTGCTGAGTGGTTGCTTATCAATTTAATCTGCGTGAAATACATATATCCCTTCAAATTAGAGGAAATTCTCCTACAAGGAATTCCCGTTCGTGTCCTGGACTGATTGTGGTGTTTTTCATTATTATCCTCCACACTGGACATCAAATTATATTGTGGCGACATTTGTCCCCAATAATTTTGTTTCTTTTTTTTTTTAATTTCATTTGTCTGCTTGGGATGTTGCAGGAACTGGCACGTTTGGCAGAGTGTGTTTGTGTCGGGAAAAGGCGACGAAGACGTACTACGCTCTCAAGGTACTTGCCATTGCGGACGTCGTGCGTCTCAAGCAGGTCGAGCACGTGAGGAACGAGAAGCGAGTACTGGGCATGTCCTTGCATCCGTTCATTATTCAAATGTGAGTACAGTACACTGTGCAGTGCGGTACGGTACGGTACGGTACGGTGCTGTGGAGTTTATTCGTAGTTTATTCGAACCCCACGCATTGTCCAGTTCGTTTATTTTTCGTTGGCCCCTACCCGCTTTTTTATTTTTTAGTTATTTCGGGAAATTAAAGGGAGGACAAATCTTTTTTGTCTGTTTTATTTTTTTTCCATGTTTGAGCTTGTCTCTTTACGAGTGTGTATTTGATGACCGCGCACGTGACGAGGAACGAAAATTTGAAAAATAATTTCTTTTAGAATAATCATGACTCTAAAAATGTTTTTCTTCATTCAGCGCTGCCATATTTTCATATTTTTGTGTATGAGTCTATTGCTATCTTTCCGAAAATACTAATTAGAATATATTTTCAACTTTTACTCTCATTTTCTTTCTTCGTTTATTTTTATTTTTTAATTGATTAAAATGAAGAAAACTAATAATCATGAGTCTCAACAATTTTTTTTTCGTTTAAGCGCTGCCATATTTTCACATTTTTTGTGTATGAGTCCATTGCTATCTTTCTGAAAGTACTGATTAGAATCTATTTTAAACTTTTACTCCCTTTTTCTCTCTTCGTTTATTTATTTTTTAAATTGATTAAAATAAACGAAACGGATGAAACGCAGGCGAGGCGAGAAAAATTGAAAATTGTGATAAAATACACGCCTTCAACAAATTGTGTTTTAGCGTTGATACAATTTTCACGTTTAATTTTTATGCATTTGTTTCTCTCTTTCTGAATGAACTGATTCAAATCCGTTCTCAGCTTTACTTTCTTTGTTTTCGTTATTCAAGTTGCTTGGGAAGGAAAGAAGGAAATTACGCGTGAGTTTACAATTTGAGAATATATTTACTTTTAAATAAATATTTTAATGGCATTATGAGAAGTACGATTTGAAAAAAAAAATCCTGAAGGTCGAAAAAGAATCAAATGATGTGCATTTTGTTTGCCCATATTTTTAAAATTTCATTTTTGTCATTTTATTTTTCATTTTAACTCGCCGAAAGTATTGAAATCCACAAAAAAGCACTTTCAATTTTATCACTTTTCTTTCTCCTTCGAAAATGCGAGAATAAAACGAGAGGGAAAACTAGCTGAAGGTTGAAGAAGCATAAATTTGCCTCCTGTTTTCAATTCTGAGAAATAGGTCAACTGTTGGGCATTTTGTTTGATTATTTTTATGCTGTATTACAATTCTTGTTCTTGGCGAAAGGAAATCGTAATTTAATCTGTTACGGTTTTTTAAATTCCGCCTTGGATTCGGTTGCCACTTCTCAAATTTCTTTTTTATTCATTGAAATGGACGAATTTTTCATTCCCGAGAATTTTTGTGTGTTTAAAAACCTCTGAACCTGTGCAGAAAATGAAATATTATTCCGCGTAAGTGCGGTTTAATTGAAATAATTCAAGTTAGATTACTTACTGTCAGGATACTTTAATTTAATAAATGTGACGTTAATTTAGTTTTTTCAAGACCAGTTGAGTAAGTGCAGATTCAGTTGGCATGCGGTCAGGTCAATTTCTTTGTGGAATGAAAATCGAGGCAAATGAATGTCTCAGGCCAGACGGAATTTCACCACGGAAAGTAAGAAGAGTGTGCTATCAATAAAAATTCGTCAAATCTTTTTTTTCTTTTTACAAAATTTGTGTAATTCGAATGTTCATGTATATCCTTGAATTCACGAAAGAAAATCCCGTAAAGTTTACAGATATTTACTTGAAAAAAAAAAACACCGTGATCCGATTGAGGTCGAGTGTGTTTGGGTACTTCGTTTGCAAACTCAGGCTGGATCAAGTTTTTGTAGGTCAGCTGGAATTAGTTCTCTTTCCCTGTGACCTCATCCTTCACCGAAAGGGTTTCGCCTTTTTTCTTGCGAATTAAATTGAAATATAATTCTCTGCGTCACTTCTTTCTTGACTGTTCCAAAGACTTTTGATCTTGAGTTTAAGTCGTCCATGGGACAAAGGGGACAAAAATAAAGAGGATTTGGACAAATCGAGGCAGAAAATTTGAGACTGGGCCACTTTTGAGACTGGGTCAGTAGGAGATGGGGACAATTTGAGACAGGGCCAATTAGGAATAGGAGAGAGAAAGATCTTCACATATGTCTCCACCTTCATTTTACCACGTTTTTACCACGTTTTTATGAACTCACTTTTCTTGTCTGTCTGTCTGTTTGTCCGGATCAAATTTTGAAACTCAAATTTCACTCACTTCCAGACTAGCTAGCAAGCTGAAACTTTCAGGATAGCTTAGAAACTGATGACAATGCAATCTTTTGTGAAAAAATTAATTTTAAGAATATTTTTTAAAAAGAATAAAATAATTTTAGTAGATTTCTATAATAAAACTTTGAGCAGGTTTTCCTTGGCCCCAAGAAAAAAACCCATGGTGAACTGAATTGGT